ACTCTTGGCATGAGACTTTATAGTAATATTAAGAAAATGGAGTGATAGCAACAAAACCCGATACTCTTTTTGTGTCCTCCTGGGGTTACACAAACTCCAGAAAGCCATGAAACATGTCTTGACAGCAGGACAATTTATATAGTGAAGTGTCTTAAGTGATGTTCCCCAGAATCTGATTGGGAAGTAAATGGTAATATGCTTACTCCATACTTGCTTAGCTGCCAGACATGACAGTCATTCCTTCTTAGAGTATAAAGTGATGTCTGCATTGCCAGGCACAGCAGGCTAATAATATTCTATGGAAAGCAAAGTTTCTGAATTTCATTAACTGTATCTGATTTTATTCATTTCTTTTGTTTTTCTAGTACATAACTTAAATTGCGTCCTGATATTTCAAAGTTTTGATATGTGTTGTGAGAATCCAAAGAAAAATGTGTAAGCACTGTAATAAGTATCAGTCCAAAGACCAAGAAGTAGGAATAGGAATAATATTTATGATCTAATGGAAAATGAATATGGTAGAGCTTTGTTAATTACCTGTACACAGATGTTCCATGTTAAATGAAAAAACCTGAAAGCTCGCAGTGAGCTTATTGGTATAGTGGATATTTTACAGGATGTCAAGTTAACATAGAACATTTCAGTATTTTGAATAGTAGGGATTAATGTAAATATCCTAGTTTTAATTTCTAATAGTATACAGCACAACGATCATATAACTAATACAAATAACAAAAGATAAGTAAAAAGCTTTTGCTCCTTAGGAAAATATGCTTTCCATACAGCATAATTTAGGAGTCTGAATCCCATTCATTATGTTGTCAGAGTAAATGGTTCAGGCACTAAAATGTTTAAATCAGTTATAGGAGAGAATTTTTTTTTTAAACATTGTTTTAATCTCTAGGCATTTAGAAGCTAAATATTTAAGCAGCCACTAGACCTAATGTTTGATTTTTTTAACTACCATTAAACTTCAGAAGACAGAATTAGAAGCTCCTGCCATAAACTTGAGCTTGTGATATGTCCTAAACTCAGCTCCACTGTGTTGAAGTTTCTATACAAATAATCAGCATGCGATGTAAGTATTTAACTACCTCATAAAAATCAGGTGTTATGAAAAAAAGTTTCATGTAGTTCTAATGAAATATATTTAAATAGTGAAAATAAAGTATAAAATAATACGCTTGCTCTGGTTACGAAATAGTAATCCAAAACACTCTACAGATTTAGCATTATAATACATCTGTCTGCATTATTACCTTATACTGGTTTTATTTCTCATCACTTTTCTCCCCCCAGTAACACATGGTGATAGGACAGGGTCCTCATCTCAGATGAGCTGAAGTTGAAATCCAAGCTAATAAAACCCCAGAAATTCAAGCAAACTTTACTATTCACTAAAAATGTACATATAAAGAAAAATTTATGTCCCAAGCATTGATCTGGTACCAATATCTGATATAAAGTAACTATTAAGGAAACTAATTGAATTCCCAGATGAGTGAAATGGGGGACATGACTAATTGCTGTGCTAGATTAAAGAAGTCTATTTGACCTATAGTGGGGTAGAGGCAATGTAGAAGTTGAGTGGCTTGTTTGGTCAGCATCACCTGCATGATCCTACTGCAGCTGACTTTGAATCTGTGCTGGTGGGATTTACCTCCCTTTTACTAGTTCCTAACTTTCTTGAAGGTTATTGGAGTGAATGAAAGCTTAATAGTTGTATGAGACAAACTGTTAAAAATTGTTACGGGACCTGGGACGTCACCTTGAGACACATGAGACTCCACAGTGGTGAAGAGGGGGCTTCTTGCCCTGTCTGGATAAGCAAAAGAGGTAGAAAATTACTTGATTCCTTGAGATGATGGAGGACACAGGAGCAAGAAAGTAGATGATCTCTTTTCAGTGATCAGAAAGAGGAGTGAAGCCAGTTTGTGTAAGTTAGAAGGTATGTCCGGTGAGGAGGTGTTAGACTCAGATATGACAACATCTAGGAGTTACACACAGTAATGACGATGAGCCAGAGAAACCCAGTTTGACTGTAGCTCTCAGGGTGACTTGGCAGAAAGTCCATTTGTTAGAAAAGAAACATCTTTTTGCTTGTAAACTGACCAAATTTAGTTCGAGCATAATTGAGAAACAATAATTAAGGAATCCCACAATGCCATTTTTGTTTTACAATCACTGTTCACAGAAAACTGCACTCAAAAAAACAAAACAAAAAAACCAAAACAAAACAAAAAAAAAGCTGAAAGAAATTCTTTGCCCAAGCTGTGAACATAGTTTCCGTGCTTCCATTGCAAAGGTTTCATGCCAATTTATCAAACCCTTGGGAAAAAACAGAGCTGGGACTATAACCAGAATTATCACTATGAACTGTGATTGCAATACAGAAAAAAAAAAACACATCATTTTTTATAATTGCTCAGATCAATGATTTCAGAAGACTGTTGGGAAGTTAAGAAAATGGCTGCTCGAAGGAGGCTTATGATGGTTGTACAGCGTGTGGGCTGGAGACCTAGAGGCATGTTTTCTCTAAGCTATTACCAGTAATCAAGTGAGATGGTAACTTCAGGGGTTTATTATTGTGATGAAATTTAAATTAAAAAATAAACGCTTTCATGAATTTCAATACACCAAACAGGCAACTCCCCCAACTGTACACATTCATAGTTTTACAGTATTTTCTTTTGAGGAATTTCTTGGTCCTCAGACAGTGAATTACGGGTAGGGCGGTGAGAGCCTGTATCTGCTCACGCTCACCTCGGGCTGGAAGCGCTGGCAGGAATCCCTACGGGGCTCAGCGAGGCCGTGGAGCTCCCACCTTACTTAGCAGACAATCTGATTTAAAAAATGTTATATGCAATCTCAGCACCTGTTTCTTCCTTGAGAAGCAGTATATTTTCCACGTATCTCTTTAAAGTATGAGTAAGAGTATTCATGGGGTTTGGGTTTTTATGGGGGAATATTTTGTTTAATAGTTTTTCATTCTTTGCAAGTATATTCAAATTGCTTCATGTAAAATACGCAGATGTGCTCTTTTGTAATTGCACTTACAATCTCCACAATGTTACGGAAATGGTTGTAGGTTTTTTTAGCTAAAAAAAAAAAAAAAATAGTCCATATTGCCAGTGATTTATATTTCTAATTTTCAAACGTAACTGCTGCTTTTCTTTTAAGCTGCTGCTGTGAAAAAGTCCTAGAAGTTATTTCACAGAAAGTATAAAGTCATTCAAGGCAATGAAAGATCTTGCTTTTTTAACCTTTCAGAAAGTCACTCAGTTGAGCAGTCAGGCCGTATTATTCTATATCTTGTCTGACATGAGGAAACAGTCCCAAAAGAAAGATATCCCAAATTAACGCCACACTTCGTTAAATAGAGACATTCTTGGTTTTCACCAAGCTAATTCGATCCAGTTCAGTTAACTCATTTTTTTTTGTACTCGGATCACAAAAGGCAGTCATGAATGAAGCAAGTTCATCATGTGTTTGACACATCAGTGTGAAACTAAAAGGCGGGTTGTGAGGGAGGGTTCCTGCCTTTCGCTTTTTAGACAATAACCCGATGAAAGAGGCCCCTCATTCAAAACTGGTCTCCAGCAAACTAGGCAGACTGCTGCGGATCACTGTTACAAACAGGTACAATGGGAATTAGCCAGAGCTTGATTCGTCAGACACCTCTTGATTTCTAGTTGTGACTGTTTGTGTAATCCAATCTATCTAATATCCTCAGTCCAGCAGATGGTTCATGGGAATTCTGTATGAGCAAAAGTCTGCCTGCTTTGGATATGAAAAATAATGTACAGAATACAAAATTTTATTGTAAAAAAATTGTGTTTAATTTTTTTTTTTTTTTTACAGAAGAAACCGGAATTTTGCATTTTACATAATTAACTTTTGTAAATTATGTCCCTCCCACTTTTACACTATTAAATATGTGGCCTATAAATTCAGCTAACAGAGTAATGAACATTCTCAAAATACATTCCTTTCTTTAAGCTACCTTTAAAATAAAATGTTAAGAAGTGTTAACATATTTTTGTAACTTTTTTGCATTATTCTCAGTCAACAAACATCACCCTTGACAGCCAGTACATGCAGACTAACTAGTGTGGATTCTGTGATGTGAAAGAATGATGCCTTCTATGATGCTACCAAATAAATAGTATTTGTGAGTCATATCCAAAATCTGAACACATTTTCAGAGAGTTATTTTCACTCCAAACTTGCTGTAGCAAGTACATAAGAGCATAGCAGCACTGATTTTTGAAGATATTTGCTAATAATTACATCAACCTGAGACACCATTGGACCATTTCTTAGGGCTGACACTTAGACAATGGACATTTTTATCAATATCAACTGCGCTTTTGCAATTGAGGAAGAAAAAAATAATCTCAACAACGTCATGCAATAGTGTTTTTTTGAATATGTGAGATAATCACTAGATTTATTTAAAAAAATAGATTATTCACTCAATCTAAAATACAAAACAAATGTTGCTGACAGAAGATGGCTTTTCAGTTCTGACTTAAACTGGAATTTCTAAAGGACCTTTCTCCTCTAGCAACTGCCATGAAAGCTGGGAATACGTGTTAGTCTGCAGGTTTTTGTTGGTTTTGAACAGTGTCATGCCTGGGATGTGTTTCCAGAATATTTAATTTAAAGTATCCTAATTTGCTTAGAAGCTCAAGGTAAGTCTAGAGATAAGAGCTAGAGAAGCCCAATCCGTAATATCCTTACTTGCATTTATTTATTACTTATTCAAATTTTATGAGAAAAAGAATATGAAAAATACAAAAATTTGTGAGTGAAGAATATATGAAGATTTCCATTAACTTTAAATATTTTACTACTTTTCCTAAGTTCAACAAATTGCGAAAAGAAATAATATTAAATATTCTGTAGCTATATACCTAATTCATTGGTGACTTTTAGTAGATGTTTTGGTCAGATAAGTGTGCACTACTAATATTTGGGGGTTTATTTTTTTCCCACAGTTTTAATATGAATCCTTCTGGCATCGAGGACCTCAGGAAAACAATGGTGAGTTATGAAGCGTTATGGAAAGCCATCAGTAAATGCCATCTAATTGGTGCTTGAGACAATATAAGCCACTATTCTTGTTTAACCTCTTATAAGGAAACGTTGGGGGGTGTTTGGGGTATTTTGACATACACAGAAAAGTCTAATTAGAAAATTACAGGCTTAATATAAATTTGGAAATAAGATTTTTACACTCAATATGCAGTGTACTTCTGGTATGATTTAGAGAATAAGGGAAAAATTAGATCTTTGCACAGAAAGAAAAAAAAAAACAACAAAACTGTTTCTTTGGGGTATTTCAGATGACTAGAGAAGTAATAGTCAGGTGAGAAACTCTGCATTACTCAGTGATGTATTAATTGACCTATCACTATAGTTGGAGACTTGCAGAGAGTCTTTAGATGACAAATCAAAATGGAAGTAATGAACTGATATATGATAGGATTAATAATACAAATAATAAATGAACAGCCTCGCAGAAAACACTAAAAATAGAAATATGAGGAGTTATTATTCAAAATACTCTTTTGATGTCTCTAAAAGTACCTAGAATAAATTGTGTCCTAAGAAAAAACAAAAAAATCCACCTATTTCCTATGCCGTGTCTTTGAAGGAAAATGTGGTCTTGATAGAATTTATTCTGTGAATAGATGAAATCTTTAAAAGTGGGTTTGTTTTGAGTCTTTAAAATATATAGAAAACAAGTTTCACAGGCAAATATGACTTTGTACTGTTTATTTTTTGCTAGTTTATGTAAATGATTTGAAATAACATTTGATGTTATTGTAAATGCCCAAGTTTTTTTTAATGTAAGTAACTGGTGGGAGATGTCAGCGTATATGAACGCTGCCTTTGATCAGATAGTAAACTGAATTCTACCAAGCAGTTACTTAATCTCTGACAAAAAGCAACATCAAAAAATTGATTTAACTTAGCTGCTATTGTCTGTAAAGTAACCATAATTACAGTTTCTATGTGCTTGCAAATGTACTACCGCAAATCATGTAATTTATTGCTGGTAAAAGCATCAGTTTAATTCTTTTAAGAAATAAGATGTGAATTGTTTTATTTAAAGGATTTAAAGGCGATAAAATAATTCCTTGATGATTTTTCTTTTGGAATACGAGCTATCCTAAATGTCAGTTGTAGGATTATGAGGTGGTGCTTATTTAATACAAAATACAAATTAGGAGAAGAAACTATATCTCAACCATAGTTTTGAATGAAATAATTTGATCATTTTATTTTTTTTTAATGTTCAAGATTGCTTTCTAAGGTGTTTGAAGTAATTTATTATTAGGTTCTGCAATAATAGCCCTCACCAAGTTATTATATTTCTTCCTTGTGCATCACATTTAGTAATTATGTTTGTATGTCTTCTACTCTGGTGCCAACACCTGTCTCTGAAAGCAGTGTTTAAATGGGAGCAGTAGCCAGTTGAAAGGGCAGTGTGAGCTCTTTAAGGCCTAATTAAGAACTGAAAGGAAGATGAAGTAAGTAGGACAAAAGATGTGAAAGTAGTTTAGATGATATTCCCAGAGCAGAATTCCTCATTAGAACAATAAAGAGATGATCAGAGATTGCCAGGCCTTCCATTTTATCTAACTCTATTTCTTCTAGCTGTCAGTGTGTACCCCAGTGGTATTTTGTAGCTGAGAGAATTTTTCTTTGCATAGCTTGTTATTTAGAATTTTTTTTCTTAATAATTCATTATAAGATTAATATTTTTGTATTGAAATTGTAGTATCTGATTTTGTAAATATATAGTTGTTCCTTAAACATTTAAGTATCAATTATTTGCTCAAACTGAACGTTTAAAATCTTAACTTTAACAATATTTATTTCTAAGTACTAACATCCTTTAATTAGAATTTTCTTACATAATTAATGTGATAGGTTATACCCCTCAGAGATCTATAGGGAGCATGTGTATGACAAAACATCTTTAAAGCATATGTATTGCATACAATTTTCCACTAAACATTATAAAATAATTAAAGACATCATTGCATCTTAATTCCTGTTCCTTTGCCAAATCAGAAAATTAGGCAAACTCTGTATTTCAGATATGGAAGTGTTAATGATGTCTTTTCCAATGTGTACAAAAATTTAGTACCACAAAGAGAAAATTTTACTTCTTGCTTGTAGAAGAAAATGTGCTAAAGTGTAATGACCACAAAGTGAAGGTATTTTCTCTTCTGTACGTGTTGGAAATAAATTACTAGCCAATTTATAAATTTCATCAAGTTAGCCATTTTAATGAGGTGGGAGTTACTGATCACTTACAATCTTGTAACTTGGTAAGTTTAAAATACTGAATACACATATATAAATATGATATTAAATATCTCAGGTGTGGGGAGAAACCCTTAAAAGCACATATTTTCAAGAGCTACTATTAGAATATAATTGATGGAGAGAGGCTGATTGATCTCGTACGTCAGCCTATTTGCAGTGCACCATCACTTTTAATTAGGTTTATTTGAAAACTTTGCCCACCTGCGTATATTAATGATTCCACACATGCCAGTGTGCAAATATGGAGCTGTATGGAAAGAAAAGGAATGGAGCATGGAAGAGGAATGAATATTTATTATGTCATATGATTCCTAGCTGTGCAAGCTTTGTCATTTTAAATGACAAGTTTCTACTGTAAACAGAAGCTATCTGACATTCTTCTTCTGCCCTGTTAGAGGTACAGGATTTGAGAGGTTAGATTATTTTACTTAATTAGAGGTTCCATATCTTTTAAATGTCCCCATTTCCGAATCAGATAAAACTTACTGCTTAGCATGTCTAACAGTGCTAATACTTTCATAAACCACCTCTCAATCTTTTTCTATTATATATTTCCAAATTTTTCATAAGGTAGCTACTTAAGGTCACAGCTAATTCTTCTTGACACAGGATAAGACATTCAATTTTACAAGTTTTGGATCACATGTTGCCCTTTGTTAAGGGGACTAATTTGTCCATCTCTGCTAATACCTTCACTTACTGAGTCATCAGAAATAATTACAGAAACAATTCAGTTTTTCCCTCCTCCTTAATTCTGGGCCCCACCTGCTTTAAAGCAAGCAAATAGACAAGCAAGATCTTTTAGTAGTTCACATTTCTGTCTTACAAGCTCTAGTGCAAATAAGATGCAGCCTTTTAGATTCACCTGAAATTTGAAATTGAAAGTTTTATATGATTCAGAGGCCAAGGTCTGTAGAACCCCTGATGACTAAAAATAGAATATGAAAGACAGATGATGACTGATGTAATTTAGAGTTAAGTAAAAGTTTTGCTATGATAAGCTCAAAAGACAAGAACTCAGAAAAGTTACGGTAGGACTTGAATTTTCAGGGCTCTTTCTCTTGTTCTTCTGTAATTAAGGAGGGCAAAAGCTCTAGAGCAAATGGAGGTGTGTTGTCTAGGAGCAGTTGTTTCTGTCAGGAGTTGCACATGAGAAACGTATGAAAAGCAGTAACATCAATTTGTTCAGAAGACTGAACTATTTAATAAATTCTGGTGTTTTTCTTGAACTTATCTGTAGGATGGAAATCCATTTGATGCCACTGCAGGATATCGTAACCTTACTTATGAAGAGGTTTTGCAGGAGCTGGTGAAACATAAAGAGCAACTTAAGAAGAAGGACACCCATATTCGTGAACTTGAGGATTACATTGATAATCTTCTCGTACGAGTAATGGAAGAAACACCTAGTATTCTCAGAGTGCCATACGAACCTTCTCGAAAAGCTGGCAAATTTTCCAAAAGCTAAGATAGCGATACTTAATGGTACTTTCTGCTGAATACATTAGTGGAAGGAAATCACACTTTAATATTTTGACTTCTCTTCATTCCTTTTCTCCTAAGAAATTCCAGGAATCAGGGGAGGATGGGACTATGGCATGGGGGTTTTTTTGTTTATTTTTTACTCCAAACACTAGCAGGGACTGCCAAAAGTAATATTCTGTTAGATTATCTAAATAACTTTTTTTTTCTCTTTGAAAACACCTTTAGGTACAGAATACTTAGAGTAGGGTTAATAATACACATTAAAATATGTCCATGCAGTTTATATAATAGCTTAGTATTCACCATGTGGCAGTTTCAACTGGGAAGCCTGTGCTGTTATGAATGTTTTCTTGAATGATTATTGGTGTTATGCAAATCTATCGATAATGATATTACAGCATGCATCAAGACCACTGTTTTCAAGCCAGTGTAGTATACTTTACTAACCTGAGTGTGTTTTGTTGCAATGGAATGTAGTTTGTTCTACACATATTAGAGGAAAACAGCGGTGCACAATCTTTGAGGAGTAAATGCTGTATTCTATACAATGTGCTTTTTGTATAAAAATGTAAAAAATACCATGCCATTTCAGTAATGGCACATGCTGGAATCAGTTATTTTACACTTAAACGCTAAATTTTATGTATAATGATTGAACTTTGGTAGTGAGCTCATGACACAAGGTTGTTTTGAAGATCTTTTTGTATGAAGTTATTGCATGCCTTTTTATGTGTTAAAGTTCTTTGAACAGTGTTAATAGAGTCGGAGGTAGGACTGGAGAAAAGTATGGAATAAAGATATGAATACTTTGTTCAGTCAGAGTCTGCTACAGTGAAAATGTAGGAGAAATGAACAGACTGAATTAAATAGACATGATAACTCAAATAATATAGAACTGACTCAATTTAAGGTTGAGTTTTACATGATATATATCTGTCTTAGGTTTTCTAAATCTTATGACAACAAAGTATATGCCTTTAGAAATAGGCTATGTTGCTGAAACACATATAGAGTACTTAGAAAGGCTCTTCATTAACAAAAAAATATGTATTCCTTGTAAGTACTTCTAAAAGTCAGTTTTCAGTGAGGCAAATGAAAGAAGAATGTAGTAAGTGTCTTCCTGATCCTTTAATAATTGTAAAATGACATATGAAAAAGGTATCTGTTGTTCAATAAATTGGCAAAATATAGTGATGAACGTAAATGGGAAAATACTGTAGGCAAAGAATCCTCACAGTATTAACATAAATAGATTTTAATTTTAATTTCCTCCATAAGAGTCTCAGTTGGATTGTCTGTTGCTGTGAAACAGTAAGATGATATTAAAAAAAAAGTACAGAGAATAGTTCAAATTTGGATTTAAGAAAACTGTCTTCTCCTCCTTCTCTTCTTTTTCTGTACATGATCTTTTTTTTTTTTTTTTGTACAGCACCATGTAATGGCTGTTGCTGAGGAGGCAAAAAACCTTGAAATTAAATTCCAATATTTTTGTTATTGTTGTAAAAGATCTAATTATGTTTTCATTTGTAAAACTGCAAAAATTAGTAATATCTTGAATAATGATGTGGAAAAGTTGAAAAAGTTCACTATCTGAATGCTTCTGACAATGTTACTATTGTATGACAGCACAGAATTATTCTTGTTAGAAAAAAATACTTTCACAATTGTTCTCGGATTTCTTTTTTTTTTGGCTTTTTCTTCTTCTTCCTTTCTTCCTTCCTTTCTTTGTTCTTTTTTTTTTTTTTTTTTTTTTTTTTTTTTTTTTTTTTTTTTAGCAACTACCTCCCATCTCCCTAGCGCTATGTCCCTAAAATGTATGCAGTTTGAGTGTTCCCAACCCATCGTTGGGATCCATTACCATAGATCATTGTGCCTGGATGGAGCCTGAGTGATTCAAGCCCTACGTAATTGTAGTGCTCTGCATTTAGACATTTATAGCCCAGAAGCGGGCCCACTTCATCAGGTAGTCTCTCTTTTGACAACCTAAGGATTTATCAAGTTTGGTACCTCGTAAACCACATGAATGTTCTTTTGACCCACTTAAGATCTAAATGACTGTAAATTTGTTGTAATATATTCAAAGTGCCAAAGGTTATGTACTAAGTTATGGTACGTTTACTGTTGGAAGTTAGGTTTTGCACTCAATTAGGTTTTAATTTCCTAATTACACCAAGATGTATTTCAGTTACTCAGTATTTCCATAAAAGTTCTTAAACATTCTCAAATGTTTGGCCGAAGCAAGTGGTTTTCTCATATTGTTAATGGGGAAGTGTTGTGCAATTGTTTTGAATTCCACAGTCATTTTCAAACTAACTGGTATGAGACCATCTGTAGTATCTACAAGGATGAAATCATACACACCAATGGGGTTTAACGAGTAAACTAACCAGAGAATATGCTCCAATGACTTTTCACTTGCAAGCCAACTTATAATTATTAAAATGAAACTCTACTATATTTAGCACCTCTGAAATCACTTCTTTTAGAATGTAAATGTAGAATATCAAACTGCATAATTGACTAAAAGCAGATCATTTGACATATTTGCATACCAAGAACGATAAGCAGATTAAAGGTAGCGAAAAGATCAATTTTTGTGCATTAGTGAAGAAATTTAGTGAAGCTTTGAATGTGCTATCTAGTCTTTATCTGATCTGTAAGTGAATAAAAGCACCTTTTGTTTCTATGAGTTTGTTAAGAAAGAGGGGAGAGTAACAAATGCATTTTAGGAAAAGGTAAAGTTACTACGAGAGGCAGAATGGGACACTTACAACTATGAAAATATTTTTACAGAGTTCTTATAGCTAAAGATGTAGGCTGCTTTTGGAGCAATTCTGGGAAGATTACATGCACGTCACTTTCTGCTTGGAAAGAAACATTTTTCTATATTTTGAGATTATTTTTGAAAAGCATCTTCACCCCATGTATATTTTTTGAACCACACAGCTTTCAAATGAAAACACTTCATATGGAGTAATTTATATATTGAAAACAAAGAAAGTTCTGTTTCTCCCATCGGATAAAACTGTAAACTTTCTTGCAAATCATTTTAAAAACATAATAACTTGCTACTTATGGTCAGTCTTTCTTGCCCTTTAAAAAGTAGGGATGAAAATTTTTGACATGTCCACATTATTTTGATTTTTTTTTCCACACAAAAATTAGTGTAAGAGTTCATCCATGCACACACTATACTTTGAAACTATCCTCTGAAACAGCTCTTCTCATAGCCATGTACTTTACATCCTTTAAAGAACAAATATCAAGGCCATGCTTTAATGTTGTAAGTAACAAATCTAAACTTTCTGCCATTCAAGAAGGATGTTTAATATTTATATATGTTACCTCTTGCTGCTGTATTTTACGTTTAGCTTGGTTTTCCACCTACTAATGAATGTAGCATTCTCCCTAGATTATACCTAACTACATTTATTGCTGTTGGCTCTGTATCAAGAACTATTTGTAGTTTTCCAGCTGTGAAAATGTTGCCTTGCATTTAGAAAGGTTTCATGATTTGGGGACCTAATGAAACTCGTGCTCATTGGGTACTAGTCTGCATTTCTTTCTGTACAGGATGCCCTTTCTTAGATGCATCTTAAAACAAACAGAACTGCTGTTTTAATATGTTTACTGCTGCACTGGAGGTTTATTTACACTTCCAGCTTTAAAGAAAAATTATTGTCCTACATGAAGTATGTAAAGTAAAGTTCATGCTTTTTTGCTCTTTATGTATCCATTACTGTTGTAGATATGATAGAGGCATTAGCTGTGGGCTTTTAAAATGTTGATATTTAAAGCATGTTGACTAACTTCCTCTCTTTGAAGTACGTGGTGAAGGATTATAGCGCTGCTGTGTTGCTGATGCTAGATTTAAAGGTCTGTCAGCGCTTTCAGTATGAAACCCTATTTTCAGGGATTTACAACTTCTAAATGCAGATACAGTCACTGGAAGTATTTAATATGCAGTAGGTAGCACTTTACTCTGTTTATGAAGGGTTTTGAGATTTGTTTCTGTTGAAAAAGTCATTGTCTCCTAAAGCATGGCGGGCATTTGCTTTATCTTTCATAATTTGTACACTGAAGAAGCCACTGTATGTTACAAATACTAGAGCCATTCCTATTCATCTTAGAAGCTTCCAGATGTCTTGTATTACGATGTACTATAAAAAGCTGAAGATCCAGGTTATATAGGAAGTCTGTAAAAGATATGAACATTACTTATAACTTAAGGGTTGATTTCGTCTCGTGCAATCAATGGTAGTTTGTCTACATTTAATAATGGTACGGAATCACAACTGTATGCACATGTGAGAACTATAAACTTAGAATGCATGAAAAACTTTATTTTTGTTTCATTATTGCAACTTCAACTCCTTTAATTTGATTAAAATGTTATCTTAATATTTTAATTTCTGTTCATTAAATAAATATTGCATGTCTAACACTAATAAAGCACCACAATGCACTACCACAATATTTCTTGAATTGTGATATTAATCTGTGTTATGCAAAGCATGTAACTCCTAAGCTCCGCTTAAGTATGTGTTTGTGAGAAACATGCTGGTAAGACTCTCAGACCGGAGAGGTGTGTTTCCTTAAGGACAACTCCAGCTGTTTGCAGGGTAGCCATTAAGGGAAGTCTCTTCAGTAGTGTCCAAAACTTATAATTAGTGAAAAAAATGGCATGTTTTTAAATGTGCTAATGTGTATGTCTTTTTTTTTTTTTTTTTATGACAACTGCAGTCCCTTTAAATGTACCATTCCTCTGATTTTGTGGTTGTGTAAATATTCCTGGGAGTATTTGACGCTGTAGGCCAGAACTGCATTTAGCATGAGGACAAACACTGCAAATTTTGATATGGAAAACACGATACATCTTTCTCTTCATGCTTAACAGAACAAAACTCAGCCACAATGACAGAAAATGGGAGCATTCTCCCCACCTCCCTGCCCCATAGGTGGGGTATTTTTAATGCTCCCACAAGTTTTTCAATATGCTTTTCTCAGAAAAAAAAATGCTTTTGCCTTGTCTTCTTTTCCTTGGAGCATCATGACTACAAGTCTGTGCCCTGATAATAGTAGATTTTTCTGGATGCTAAGGGGATATGAAGAGTGGTCCTGGCTTAGGACAACAACATTGTGAGTAGTTCACCCCGTTACTTGGAGTCTTGAATTTCACTGGGATGTGTTTCCTTCCCTTGCAGTTAACTTGCTCCATGACTAGGTCCTTTGTCATACAACTATGGACTTAGGAAGTTTGGAAAGTGTTCCTCTCCTTGAGGTATCCCTGAAATGTGGTGGTTAGAGGAAATCATTAGTCAATTTTGGAGAAGTGCATGTGCTTAAACATGGTTTATTGTGCAGATTTCCTTCAGCTGTTTCACCCCATGTCTCACTGACTTTGCAACTGTCCTGATGGGTGAGTAGATGAGGAATGAGGACAGAGGAGAAAGGCAGGTTTCTGAAAGCTGCATATTAAATACCAGTTTCCATCTGTAATTCACATCTGGTAACTAATCTCAGTTCCTATGCCCATTTGAAAATGGAGCCAGTGCAATTTCCCTACCTCAGAGGCATAGTATTTGTTAGTTGATACCAACCGTAATTCTGTTGTCAGTGTAAGAGCCCAGCTTGGTTAAATAACTTCCAGTTTCCCCAGCATGGAGGGGGCTTTTGAGTTTTCATTATTTAACATCTCGACCCCCTAATAAAGGATTTTGAGGATATTTTAAATATAGTTTAGCAGTTAGAGCTATTGAAATATTTAGAAGTAAACTAGAAGGATCATTAAGGGCAATTCTCTCTCCAGTCAGATTTAATAAAGTTAATTCTTTATGGGATCATAGAGAGTAAAAAGCAAGATTTCATTTCCATATTTA